ATGAACGCAATTATTTCCCGACCAACCACGCCCGCTGGACCCCCAAGACCCCCGATTCGATTTCCCAGCGTCCTGGCGGAGCCGCTATGATCTGAGCAAACACGTTCGATTTAGTGAACGCCGTGTTTCGGAGCTGCTGCCAGTGACGGCTTGGCGTTCAAGAGAGCCAAGCGCCTTTTTCACGATGAAAGGAACTTGACGGATGCAGCTGAGATCGAGCGGCAAAAAGCTCGAGGGGGGCGCGTTGCTTATAGAGAGAATCTCTTCGTCTAAGTAAAAGCAGATCTTATGTATGGGAAAGGTGGTTAACAGAGCGATAGAAGGTTGGAGACGGTAGGGGGTTTAACGCGGCATCTCCTTCATTCCCTTCAGTTGGTTCTCTGGTCCTGCTATTTACCTTCCTTCGTCCCTCACAGATTTTTTTTATGACGTCAGCCGAGTCTGTTGCTCTAGATGGAGAAGGGCAAGTCCTCGCCACTGGTAAATTCCCGCACCACTTCGTTCTCTGTGATGGTCACGGTGCGAATGACGCCACCGGAGCTGCCGTCGCGCGCCATGGCGTGTGCCAGCGCCTTCTTAACAAACCTCTGGCATTCCTCCTTCGTCATGTTCGGCCTACACGACAGCAAAAAAGCGTTAGCTCACATAGTATTCCCCGCCCCCAGTTCACTTGCTGTGTGACTCACCGATATTCCGAGTCCACCAGGCCGTAAATGTACGTAGAGCCGCTGCCGCCAATTGCAAAGTCCTGCTCCACCATGGCTCCACCGATGGGGATCGAGAAAACCTGGCCGCCCTTCACCGGGTCCCAACCGGCCACGATGATTCCAGCCAGCAGGCGGTCCTTGTTGTGGTAGCACAGCGAGCGGAACAAGTTGGCGGCTGTTCCCACCTTCGGCAGACGGCCCAGCTCCACACTGTGAGAGCTCAGATAGTAGCGAACGTAGTCGCTCAGCGCTTGCGTGTCTGCTGCCGAGCCCGAGCGACAACAGAACAGTCGGTCGTGTAGTGGCGTGAGCTTGTCACTCACGCGGTTGGCCACGTATGTGCCCGTGGACGTGCGCGAGTCGGCGCCCAGCACAACGCCTCCATTGAAGCGCACAGCGATGATAGACGTGCCGGCATCCACCTCGCCGGGCTTAAGGTATGAGCCTTCGTCCACTTCCTGCTTGGTCATATTGGATCCTTCCTTTTCTCTGTTTTGAATAGGGGGAAAACCTGAAGATTGTATGGAGGGTTTTATGTTGCACGATCTTTTGATTGAGAATAAGTTGCACATGTTGTGGACCACAATTTGCCTGCCGTAATGCATATATTTTAAATCTAGGATCAAGCATTAACTTCAACATGACCGCTTACTTGGGCGGATGCGTGAGCGGCTTGAACGGCGTCGTGATGACGGTGATAGCGGCGGTGCGAGCTACAAAATCGCGTTCAGTGGTCGATAGGAAGGAGTTGACGTTGTTGTACTTCGCGTTGGCGTGTTCTTCGGCCACTTGCACCATCTTGTAGACGTGTTCGTCAGGGAAACCAGGCAGAGCAAGGGCCTTCTCACGCAGCTGCGGCCAGGACGGGAGCGCAGCGAGGCGAGCTTCGAGGTCGTCGGATGGACTGCAGATATCTTCCTCACGGAAGTCACGGGACTGAGAGGTCACCAGCGCCGACAGCGCTACGTGTAACCACACTCGCCAAACTTTCGCCTTATCGGACGGTGACAGCAGGTGTTCCAGTTGCTGGAGCGACCAGGCCGACGTGGCGGCGTGGAGGATAATAAAGTCGTTGTGCTTGAGCATGACATACAACCACATGACCATATCGAGCGCGTGGCTGCCATCGAAGTTCGAGAAGTCAAACGCATTGACCTGAGTCCAGATGAGAGCAAAAGCCTTAGGACTGCTGCGTTCCGGGTGCCCCGAGAATACGTTGACACCGCGCTGGACCCAGCCGATGTCGAGGTCCTTGACCGGTGAGATCGCCACGAGTCGGTCCTGTTCGGACCGTAAGAACTCGTTGCTGGCGACTGCGTCAGCGACTTCGAATACCGTTTGGCGGGTGAATTGGCGCAGTGGCTCATTACTCTGCGGCATCTCCGGCTCGTCAAATGGCAAGTAACAGTGGTGCTGGTAGGCAAGTCCTTCAGCAACAGGACGGTCACCGCCGATGTGGTACGCATAGCCTAGCTGGATGATACCGTGCAGCAGAGCGCCGGCCAAGCCGCTGAAGAGGTTAGGCAGATGCTTGCACACTGCTCCATCAACTCCGAGTTGCTTGACATCCTGAGCATAGTAAGCAAGTAGAGCGTCGTACTGCTGGCGTTTGCCCAGCAACGCTTGAGCTTCTTCATCGGAAAGGACAACGAGCGTTGCAACGTGCTCAACGACGTCTTCGTGGTCAGGGCCCTCGGCTTCGAGTTTTTGAGTGTAGTGCGCGGCGTACTCCGCGATCTTTTGCTCACTCGCGCCAAGCTCATGCAGCGCCACGACCGCGTGCAGCAGGTGGTTGGACAGATAGTTGCCGTACTCGATTCGGAAGCGGAGGGTCGAGTACTCGCGCGTCAAGGTTTGGCGAACTTGCTCAGCTGGTAGCTTGGTTTGAGCGATGGCAGCATCGGAGGCTCTCCCATAGAACACGCCCGCTTTTAAGAAATAATTTTCTAAATTAAAGAACACCTAATTTGACGAACTAGATTTATTCATTTCTAATTAGCTGACTTGGGTGGTGCGATCTCATGGCGGCGTG